CGCTTTAGAATATGAGGTAAGTTTTTATGTATTAAACCGTTGGCAGTAATAATTATTGGCAATTTTTTTACGGTTTTTGATTCAAACTCGCCTCAGCTCAACGCTTAGACACTGATGAACAACAGGATGATATCAGGCTTATTATTGAGTACTAGTTGATCTGAAATTATGCCCATATCCCAATAAAGCTTAGCAGAATCATTTTGAATTATTGCTTTAAGCTGTTATTTATAATTTGCCTCTTTATTTAGGACTATATTTTGTGTTTCAGTCCCAGTTCTTGATTGACGATCTTGCACACAGAAAAAAAATGCATTGTAAAATGTACAATAAATCACGTTAAAATAATTAACTCGTTCTATGGAATTCGATTTACCTAATTATTATTTGTTTCATAAACGATTGTTGATAATATAATATTGCTTTATATACATAATAAAAATTAAAGCATTCGAAATAAAGTGAATACTATTTTATCGGATATCTAATATTTAGTCCTTTTAAAGTAATTATTACCCTATATGTTTTAAAAGAACCACATTCAAAATAAACTGGCATTGCCTTATTATTTTTGAAAAGTGTTGCTTATCTATATATTCCAATAAGACGTCCTTATAATAAATTTATTTTAAGCATCAGAATATTTTATTTCTATAATAATTGCTAACAGTTTAAATACATTTCTGGTAGGCTTTTGCCACGTAATTAATACTCTCCAATTAAAAGTAATTCGAGGTTGACATCGAAAGATGGTGTTTGGCGGGATAAGGGCGGGATTGACAGGATAAGCCTGATCAGTACAATGCTATTTATTGTGTGACAGATATTAGTGACAAAAAGGAGAATTGTATCGTTTACAGGTAATGTGTTGTTTTAGTTAGTTGTTTAGAATAATCAAACGTTAATACTAATTTAGAAGAAATATGGCAGAACCAAAGTTTTTCTTTAAAAGTGATGGAAATGATGCCGAGTCGAAGAACACCCACTTTTTTAAATTCAACCTAACGCGGTTTTCTCATCAATAGTGGCATAAGGAACCTAAAAAAAATACTGTTTTTTGCAAATATACGATTTAGAAAACCTGCAAATCCTGTATACTCTGTATAGATAAATTGTCTGTTTCAGGTTAAATCCAGTTTTAAGATGGATCGAAGACTATGACCTTTGAAGGAATCTAATAAAGGCAGATCAATTCCAGAACATTACAAAAACCATTCGTCACTAGACAAAATTCACCGGGATACCCTTGTATCTATTATTTTTTTATTTTGGAAGACATTCAATACAATTATTTTTACCTACTTATCACCAAAAGATTAATTCCGAAATAAAGTTATTTTACTAATAAATTTGATATTTATTTCATTTAAATTGTTAGTACTGATCATAATCGATTAAAATCGACTCAAGCTTTAAACAAAGTGACATATTAATAAATCATTAAGCATTGCACTTCAAAATATAAAGAGAAATGCTTGAAATAAAAGGAATGTATCTGAAAAACAAAAGGGGAACATTAATAATGAAATATATATTTCTTTAAATCAAACTGGCAGAATTTTTATTCTAAATCTTTTTGTTTTATTTGATTTATTAGCATTATTTTTGATTTTACAACGTTTTTTCTCTGAGTGTAGGCACTGATATTTATCCATCTTCTCCTGTAGGTACGTCCTGCCTACGTTGTCATCTACAAGAATGGACACGTCTATAATAGTTCTATATTAGTTCTTTATTATCCTTTTCCAACAGCATATCAGGCTTACTATTGAGTACTATAGTTGATCTGAAATTATGCCCATATCCCAATAAAGCTCAGTAGAATCATTTTGAATTATTGCTTTAACCTGCTATTTATAATTTGCCTCGTTATTTAGGACTATATTTTGTGTTTCAGTCCCAATTCTTGATCTTGGCTACTTCTACTTCATTCTGTCGACTGAGATATTCTGTAGGAGCTAAATGAGTGCAGGTTGACTCAATATGATGGATAGTTTCCTTCTTTTTGCACCCCATACAGCGTGATGTATTAGGTAAGTTCTCTATAAATATGAACTTCTTATAGTTTTTATTTGAAATGACTTGATCCTGTATTGCTGCCAATGCCCCTTCGGTTTCATTAAATAAATATCCTTGGGTTAGATAAAGACACGATTCTTCCTTTGCTACTTCTGGATTTTGCAAAGTGTCAAAGAAAAAAGTTTATGATGCAGTTTGGTCTTCTTTAACATCTGAGAATGATAATGGTAATAACTGTTTATCTATTTGGAGTATTGCTTTAATTAATGGATGGTTTTGTCCATTGAAATATTTACGTATAGGCTATTTTTCTTCTTTTAAAGCCAGTTCAAAATTGCTTAGTTTTCTACCATCTACCACCTTCCTATTTTGGTTTGGCAGGGCTTTTTTGGAAGCCTGTATAAACCTGTTTTGAATTTTAAGAATATGAAAATTTTAAAATTAAATTTTATGTTCGTTTTTCGTGTCGGTCAGTCTATATTAAAATATATTTTATCTGAAATAAGCATTTAAACAGTGTGAAAATTACCTCAATCTAAAAAAATCTGTCCTATATCGTAAATTAAACATTCCTGACTGATATTATAAAGGTTGTTCTAGAGGACGTTCCGCACCGCCCTTTTGTAGATTTATTAATGTACGGAAACGCATATTTGTTTGAAACCCGGCAATTACATTTTGTTACCGAATCTACCTGTAGAAATTTAGGTAGTTTGGATCATTTATCACGTATACGTTCTTAATTGTGGTTTGTGAGTGTGGAAAAGGCAGATGTATTTTCTTCCCATAAATAATTCCCGTCTTAGAACATTTTACTATTTATTTTTGTTCGAAAAAGATTTATACATCTCTCCAAAAAATCCTATATGGGTATTTCGCCACTGCAAGAAAATCTACAAAATAAAATAGTTCTTTTTTGTAAACACTTCTGCGTTAATCCCAAACGGAAACTACTTGTCAGAAGTTAGGTTTACAGATATACAAATTTGCCTAACGAACAAAAAAATGCTTAACGTTTCGGACAGTTTATCTCTTTCCGTCGTCGGAAGCAAAAAAAATACAAAGAATATAAAGAAAATAAAAGATTTAAAATATTTAAATTCAACTAAGTATTCGAGAACACTCTAGTTTTTCAAAACAGATACGTCTATACAAAAACCGTTGACGTTCTGTTAAAATGACATTAGGTATATCAAGTTAAACAGTTAAACATCAAAATTAACAATTACTGCCTGACAACAATTACTTAATGAGGTAAAACCAAAAAGACTCAAACTTTCTGTATGATTATTTTTTAATTTGTTTTTAATTTTTACTTATTATGTTATATGTTTATTTATGGTATGTTAATTAAAATCAAAGAAGTGACATTACTAACCTCTGCATCATACATTACTAACCTCTGCAGATGCCTGAGCAAAACCTACATTCATTTTTATTAGACTGTATTAAAAAAGCTTCTTTTGTTTTTCGTTTACAATAATTAATTAAAATTTAAAAATATATATTATTATTTATTTTTATTTAAATTTGTACAGGTGGCGAAATACCCCTTGGACTTTTTTGAAGAGATGCTTTGTATTGAAAGTGACATTAGAAAAATTTTGCCTAATGCTCTCTAAAAATTGATTTTTTCGCTGAATTTCGAAAGATTTTATTACAAAAAGTTGTTTCCTATTTAATTTTATATAAGAACTTACACTAATTTTCACCCATCTAGATTAAAAAAATCGTAATTTTTAACCAATAGCCCCAGCTAATTCTCGTAAAATTACTGACGGGAGCTCAATTATTGTCTGTCAAATATTTATCTGGTATTTATATATTTAGTTATTTTTTTTGAATAAATTTATAGTTTTTTTTACGAAAAGTTGCGTGATGCAAACTATGATGAATTTTTCCATATATCGAGGTGAGTTCATTTCTGTACATTTTCTCTTCTCATCTCTGTTTCTATTACTCAACTTAAGTTTAAATCTTCTCTAAAAATCAGGCCCTCTCATTTTATAAATTGGATCAGAGATCAATGTTATAAGTAGGATATCAGAGATCAATGTTATAAGGTCTGCTAGTAAATGTTTCTAAGCTTAAAGTACCACAACACTATTTATTTAAACTAAAAACTCGTAATACAAAACTAAAGTGTCAACAGGAAATAAATAAATAAATGTGGCAACTTGACATTTTTTACAGCAGAGCTATCACCTGAATCCCCAGCGGGAAATTTAAATTCCAGTTAGTCAGCCCGGCGCCAAATATGTCCATGGTTGGCAACAATGAATTTAAAAATCGCGCCCTCGATTACGTAACTAAAAGTTTAATTGCTATCAAATATATATACCTTAATAGATGTAAAATTTAAATAAAGTTGACAGTAACCTAAAAGTCTATTTAATTCGCATTAAGTCATTAAACAGTAGCTTCAATTCTCATTCCATATTTGCTTTTCTCTATCTAAAATAACCTACCATTAAACAGATAAGCAAATAGTTTACTCTCATTATCACCTCTGCGGTAATTAGAAGCAAAGAACAAAATAAAAACTTAAATCCCATAAACCTGGCGCAAACGAAAAAAAGAAGAAGGAAAGTGAGCATAGCGTAGCCCTGCCCACCGAAAAAGTCAACCTCGTCAGCTCACACCTATGCCAGCAGCGCGAAAAAAAATGAATACAAAACGGTGGCAGGCGTGAGGTGAGGCGACGCAAGACCACAACGCGACCACTAAAAAATCCAGTAGGCAAATGCCAACTTTCGTGCCAAAGAACATAAGAACTTGGGGAGACGAAAGTACGCCGCTCCGAACAGTGTCGATAAAGATCACAACCTCATGGCTGCCAGGTATAGGAGGGGCCAAGCCGAGGGGGTGTGGAAAAACTGTGCCATTGGTTCGAGCGCAGAGTGGGGGCGAAAATCGATGGAAAGTAGGGGTAAGCGACACGAACTTCAACTGGAAGAACCAGTCGGTTTTAACACGTTGTTGTGTTGCTACGTGCTTCGGTGTCGGTTTTTTATGCCCCATACCTGTCAAATCCTGACGTCCGCCCGATCACCGCGTACACGCGCACGGGGTGAACTTGACAAAACTGTGAAATAAGTCGAAGAGAATTTATTTGTAACTGGTGCAGTTGAAGGGTGTTTTAATTTCTAAATTAAAGAGTGGAAAATTCTGGTGGTGTGCTTGTGAGTGCAAATAAGTAAGCAACCTGGCGGCGTACCTAGAAGGACCCGCAATTGCACCCGTGGGGACTCTCGCCTTAAGGGCCGGCCTGGCCCATGTGCCCATCGGGCCCAATTTCAGCAATTTGCAACATTCAACGCACAACATAGGTGGGTTTCGCTTTAATCTAGTATAACATCCAATTCTAAGTTTCAAACATAGACATTATAAGTCACCAAGATACTCAAATGACTTCATATGTATAATTATTGTAGATTTCCTAAATGTTTTATTAATACTCCAAATGCTAAATGTTTTAGTGTCTCAAAGCGAAAATAAAGTCACGAAACGTTTCACAAAATCTAATTGTTTCCTTTGAGCCTTCCCAAAGCCCACGAATTTACTACAACCTAATTACTGGAAAATCATAATGTTTTATATATTATTGTTACCTATAATAAAACATTAGTAATGCGTGTGTTGCAATGAAACCAGATTTTATCATATATCAGTTATCAAAATGTCCGATACAAAGTGCAATCTCCAGAAAAATGCATAATTTATTTGGATTTGATCGCTAGATTATTATAACATAAAATCATCCAATTCTAGTATCTGAATTACCCAGTTGGATCCAGCTTTAATAATCTACTATAATAAAGTAATAATAAAAAATAGAATTTAGATTGGAAGTATTGGTTTAATACACAAATTCATACAGATCTTCTAAAACCAACAAACGTTATTTTAAATTTACATATTGTTCTGCTAACCATGGCAAAATCATCTCTACATGATCACAATTTAATCGTAATTAGTTATGATTTCCGACAAAATCTGCAGAATATATTCTGTAAACTTTGGTTCCGGTTATCAAAATTTGCTCCTAAAGTTCTAAAAGTTATTTTGGGGTGTTTTGGTAGATTTATGTAATAATCAAGCATAATATTAAATATATAAAATATTTTAAAGACATATTTAACTTAAGTTTAACCGTTTATCAATGTTTACTCTCTACATCTCTATCTAGTGATATACATGTAAGATAGGTGGTGTGCTGCAATGGAAAGAAATATTTCAGTTAAAATTAATTCTAGTTATTAGTTTTTTTTTTATTTTTCAAGCATTTGCTGATAAAACTAACCTGGTTAGTGAAACGCGATTCCAGTGTTAAAAGTAAAGTATCTTGGAATATCGTGCTGAATTAGTGTATTATTTATTTTGTTAAACCAAACCAAATTTTTAGTCACGTGATTTAAGCTTGACCGCCAAACCGTTGCCTTTAATTTTAATATGTTTTCTCGAAATTTTTGTATGTTTTCTTCTAATCAAAATATTTTAGGAAACAAAAATAAATTAAATATAAATAAATATATAAACAGTTATTATTTACATCAACAAAATTTGCCTTCTTAACAGCAGTTATGGAACATAAAGGGCCATTACTAACGCTTTCCCGTTCAAAATATTCTAATAAAGTTGCGATAAGTTTTTTACGACAATTAAGCTATCTTGTACACTTCGCACTAAAAGAGGTTCTAAATGAAAAGAAAATGTTGGACTGCAAGGTCTGCTAGTAAACATTTTCAAGCTTAAAGTATCACAACACTATTTATTTAAACCAAAAACTCTTAATACAAACCGAATGACAATGTCAGGAAATAAATCAATAAATGTGACAACTTCATATTTTTTACAGCAGAGCTACCACCTGAATCGCCAGCGCGAAATTTAAATTCCAGTTAGTAAGCGTGGCGGCGAATATGTCTATGGTTGGCAACAATGAATTTAAAAATCGCGCGCTTAATTGATATGAAATATATATTATCTATAATCACATTCAGACAATTCCATAATGAATTAAGGTGTCATTATTTTAGTTCATTTCTTTACTTTCTTGATTGTTCCTGATTTGCTAAGAATTGGACATAAACGGTAAACGAAGTGCAGTAATTAAAATTGTATAATTCTAATGTATAAATAAATCAATAATCACCTATATGTTGATGCACATTATCACTCCATTGCCGATGATTTAGATAGTATTCAAGATGAATGTTTTCAATTTCTTGATGCCTGATTCAATTCAGAGTGTTTCTCTAGAAAAGTAACAGCTTTTAGTATAACAGTTTGCTTTTAACAAAGTTATTAAGTAGGCAGTTATTGACAATTAATCATTTGGAGGAGATGATTTTCTGATAGTAATTTATTTTTCCATTTAAGAACATTTTCTTTAGTTTTGGGCATAGACCAGCTTCTTTATCAAAAACCTTGGTACTAGTATTTTTAGCAAATAATGGACATTTATTTACTTTGACACTTGCCGTTATAATGTTCTAAAATTCATTTAGACACAATAAAAACAGTAGGTAGTACAATAAAAGTTTTGAGGGGTATATACAGGGTGTCCCAGGCTAAGCGTGCATTAGAAGTTTCTAGAGAACTACAACATCTAGTTCGGAGATTTTTTGTACATCATACGATTAAAAATATTTTCAATATGGCGGCACTTCCGGAAATACCGAAAGTTGACAGCAACTTTCTTATTTTAAATGGGTGCCCCCATTTTTTATTATGTACTATGTATGTTAAATTCTCTGTAAAATTTTATGAATTTTGATATTAAACACTCTATATCTAACATTGACCGTTTTTGAGAAAAAAAATATTTAAAATTTTTGAACGAAAAAAACTGCCTGTCAAAAATATGTATATAGTCTAAACGTCAAATTTAGCGATTACCACAACCACTGTGCCATAAAGAGAAAACATGTGGCTATCTATTTCAAAAATTAAATTGTTCGAATGTCATATAATAATGGCCGCAGCTGTCAAAGAATTGAGCGATTAAAAAAATATCATAAATCATTTTTTTTTCAAATGGAAACCCACTTTTTTATTTCGCTGTTGAAAAGGCTTTTCAATTCGTTACTTTTTACTATAGATGTTCCTATACCTAAAATAAATTGTTTTAAAGTTATTGAAGATTTACTTTTAAAGCGTATATTTTTCTTGATTTTAACCAGTAGCCTATGACTTTAAACGTCAAGTGATAGAATAGATAAAACAATAAGATCTAAGCCATGCCATATTGTGACGCTTTATTCAAAAAGCAGCATCATTTTCGAGCCAACTTTTTTTTCTTTTGCGCTGTTTTTTCTTTCGATCATACGGAATATTATTAATAATATCAACTACTAGATATCGCTATAAAGAGCGAAAATAGGAGATATATTTTAATAAATACACTTTTTGAATTCTTAAGCAGGCAGTATTTATACTATAGGAAATTCAAATAATTTCTTTTCTGACAGAAGGAAATAAATTGTCTGGCCATTTGACACTTAATGTCAAAGGAAGCTAGATAAAATCAAGAAAAATATACGTTTTCAAACTAAATCTTAAATAACTTAAAAACGATTTATTTTAGGTATAGGAACATGTATAGTTAAAAAGTAACGAATTGAAATACCGTTGTATTAGTGAAATTAAAAAAGTGGGTTTCGATTTGAAAAAAATGATTTATGATAATTTTTTAATCACTCAATTCCATGAGAGCTACCGCTATTATTATATGACTTTTGAACCATTTAATGTTTGAAATAGATAGCCACATGTCTTCTATTTATGAATGTGGCTGTGGTAAACACTAAGTTTGACTTTTAGGCTAAACAAATTTTTTTGACAGGTAGTTTTTTTGGTCCAAAAATTTTATATATTTTTTCTCTCAAAAACGGTTAATATTAGGAATAGAGTGTTTAACATCAATATTCATAGAATTTTACAGAGAATTTAAGTATGTAATAAAAAATTGGGGCACCCATTTAAAATAAGAAAATTGCTGTCAACTTCCGGTATTTCCGGAAGTGCCGCCATATTGAAAATATTTTTAATCGATAGATCTCGTTGTAAAACAATGATATGCAAAAAAATCCAATCTAGATATTGTGGTTCTCTAGAAACTTCTAATGCACGCTCAGCCTGAGACACCCTGTATAATAGAGATATTGTAAACAAGCAAATAATAATATAGTACCACGTTATCTAAAGCCAAAGGAATTAAATGAAAATATAGTACTTAAGTGACGTTGCTTTCTTTAGTTTAATTGGCTCAAGAAGTATCACTTCCGAAACCACTTTGAGGGACAAACATTATTTCTTGACAGTTATATTTTTTTCTGTCTGAATGTTATTTTTGTTTTACATGGCAGTAATTAAAATTACTGGTACTTTTAGCAAATAACGGACATGTATATACTTTGACACTTGCCGTTATAATGTTCTAAATTGCATTTATAGGTACAATAAAAACAGAAGATAGTAGGTACAATAAAACTTTTCAGGGGTATATACATATAATAGAGATCTTGTAGACAAGCAAATAATAATACCATTAGTTATTGTAAAGGCAACCACTGAAACAAAATTATTTAAGTTCTACCAAGAAAAGGCTTACCAGTACCTCAGCAAACCAGCCAACTTTATCCAATATTGTTAGTGATATTATATAAATCAAAATAAAATTTATATCTTTACATAAAATGAACTACTCTTCGTTTATTTATTACTCTTATTTAATTGTAAATACTATCACGTTATCTAAACCCAAAGGTAAAGTAAATAAAAATATAGTACCTAAGTGACGATGCTTTCTTTAGTTTAATTGACTCAACAGGTATCACTTTGAGGGACAAACATTTTTTGACAGTTATATTGTCTGACTGTAATATTTTTGTTTTACATTGCATCCAAATGTTATCTACAAATTTTCAGACTTCAGAAAACAGTTTGGAGTTATTTTTTTCAGATTATTTTCTTTCTTTTTAGCAAAGACAACTTCCTTGTCGAACATTTTCTTACCAAAACTCCATCTAATATTCACAGTTGATTTTGCATTCAAACCTTCGTACCTGTACTTTTATCAAATAGCGGCTTTCTTTGGTACTTGCCATTATAGAGTTCTAAAATAAACTTAGGTACAATAAAAGTGTAGGTAGTACAATAAAAATGTTGACTACTATAGGCTATTACAATCTATATACTAATAATCTCCCTATTATAATCCTATCATAATTTATACAGGGTTGTTCACCACATACGACACGGAGTATTGTAGCTAAACGATGAGATTTTTACAAATTGTAAGTTTTGGGTTCGATGAAGGACTATT